TTAACAATTTGCAGGATTTTCACGGATGGAGGGCGGGCCGTTTTCAAAATGTGGTTCTCGCCTCAGCGCCGCACATATTCGTTTTCAAAGTTTGCAAGAGTTTCACGGATTGAGGGCGGGTCGTGTTCACTTGTGGTTCTCGCCTTGGCGCTGCGCACATTCGTTTGAAACATTTGGAAACATTTCCATGTATTGAGGGTGGTTCGTTTACAAAATGTGGATTTCGAATTAGAACCGCGCGCATTCATTCTAACAATGTGCAAGGGCTTCACGGAACGAGGGCGGCCCGTTTTCAAAATGTGGTTCTCGCCTTAGCGCCGCGCACGTTTTGAGATAACAATTTTCCAGAACCTGTGTTTTCGAGCGATTCGGGATTGTCAGGGCGCAGCAGTTATGTCGGTTCGCGGTGTTGACGTCCCAGGAATGGCGTTGTGGCAATATGCAGGATCGTCAAGACGCAGCAGTCAGGTTGATTGATGGCGTTGAAGTCTTAAGAATGATTGACGTGCTTCAAGATTTTCGTACGGTTGTCTCCCAACGGGAAATGTCCCTTAGTAGTGGACGTGAATTTTTGTATGGAGCCTATTGAGAGGGAGTTTGGAGGGAGGGTGTATCCCAGCATCGTTGATGAGTCTTGGGTTTGCACTGGTCCTCCTCCTCCTCCTCCTCCGCCTCCTCCTTCTCCTCCTCCTCCTCCTCCTCCTCCTCCCCTCCTGTCGAGGCCCGAACGGTCTGCCTGTTGGCTGCTAGATTGCGCGGGGCCCAGGGTCTCCCGTGCGCCGTGGCCTGATTGGCTAGCGGCGGGGACTTACCCTTCACGCTCCGCGTCGGCACGCGGCAAAGAATCATGAGTGGGGGAGGATCCGAACGTTCCTATTTTTCCCGCCCCTTTCCATCCCTAGCGTCAGCACTGTGGGTAGCCGCTGGCCTGCCCGCTGATATCCCCCGAGCCTGACGCCCTTGCTGGAGGCTGGCCAGGCCTGCTGGCGGCGAGGGAGCGGTTCCCTCTCTCCTCCCTCCTTCTTCTCTCTTTCCTGCTCATCCTCCTTATGCTCCTCTTCTTCCTTCTCCTCCTCCTCCTCCTCCTCCTCCTCCGCCTCATCCTCCTGTCGAGGCCAGAACAGGCTGCCTACTGACTGCTAGATTGCGCGGGGCCCAGGGTCTCCCGTGCGCCGCAGAGGGTATTCGTTCGCGGCGGGGACTCACCCTGCACGCTCCGCGTCGGCATGCGGCAGAGAATCATGAGTGGCGGAGGATCAGAACGTCCTTGTTGTTTCCCGCCCCTCTCCATCCCAAGCGTCAGCACAGTGCGTAGCCGCTGGCCCGCCCGCTGCTATCCCCCGAGCCTGACGCCCTTGCTGGAGGCTGGCCAGGCCTGCTGGCGGCGATGGAGCGGATCCCTCTCTCCTGCCTCCCTCCTCTCTCCTTCCTGTTCATCCTCCTTTTGCTGCTGCTGCTGCTGCTGCTGCACCTCCTCCTCCTCCCTCTCCTCCTCCATTCCGTTTCCTTAGAACTAGCTTCTCCTTGTCGCACCCCGAGGCCTGTTTTTAGGGCTGGCCGGGCGTTTCGCCTGAGACCTCCTCACCATTTATGACCCTGAAGCTTACAATGTTGCAGCATTTTTACGGCTTGACGGCGGGTGGTTTTCAAATTGTGGTTCTTGCCGTATCGCCGCGCTCATTCGTTTTTTTAATTTTGCAGGCGTTTCACGGATTGAGGGCGGGCCGTTTTCAAATTGTGGCGTTCGTCTTAGCGCCGTGCACGCTCGTTGTAAGCATTTGCTAGAGTTTCACGGATCGAGAGCGGTTCTTTTTCAAAACGTGGTTCTCGCCCGAGCGTCGCGCGCATGTGTTTTAAACACGTGTGTGGGAGTTTCACGCATTCCCATGATCAACATACTAGGGATGGTGCTTGGGAAAGATCCAGGATCATGAGGGTGTCATAGTTACGTTGGTTCGCGGTGTTGAAGTCCCAGGAATGGCGTTCTGGCAATATTCAGGATCGTCAAGACGCAGCACCCAGGTTGACTGATGGCGTTGAAGTCTTAAGAATGATGTTTGACGTGCTTAGACGTGCTTCAAGATTTTCATACGGTTGTCTCCCAACGGGGCATGTCCCTTAGTAGTGGAAGTGAATTTTCGTATGGGGCCTATTGAGAGGGAGCTTGGAGGGAGGGTGTATCCCAGCATCGTTGATGAGTCTTGGGTTTGCACTGGTCCTCCTCCTCCTCCGCCTCCTCCTCCTCCTCCTCCTCCTCCTCCCCTCCTGTCGAGGCCCGAACGGTCTGCCTGCGGGCTGCTAGATTGCGCGGGGCCCAGGGTCTCCCGTGCGCCGTGGCCTGATTGGCTAGCGGCGGGGACTTACCCTTCACGCTCCGCGTCGGCACGCGGCAGAGAATCATGAGTGGGGGGGGATCAGAACGTGCTTGTTGTTTCCCGCCCCTCTCCATCCCTAGCGTCAGCACTGTGGGTAGCCGCTGGCCTGCCCGCTGCTATCCCCC